CAAGGACAAGTCATCATGGCATTATCAGAAGGAAGTCGGAGGCAACCTAGATGACTGAGATTGGACAGAGATAAAAGATGATAAATGCATATTATGGAAGCTAAACACCACAAAGTCAACGTATGTACAGACAACATAGTGTTGGGTTAAAAAATGTCAAAACCATACCACTTATCTAATTAAAACATACACAAACTGAAAGCACTGCCACTTACGGCCCAGTAATGAGCACATATTTGGATGACATCACATGTGCTGCAGTCATCTTCTTTTGAGCATTTGGTGCCTGGATAGATGTGCTTTGGAAGCAGATTTTTAGGGAGGCGAAACTGTCAAGTCATGGGATGGAGCAGAGGAGGGAAGCCTGGTACACAGATCTATTATGTTAATGTGTGGTCGCTGCGGGCCCCCCAGGAAGGATACACCCTAGGGCTGCTGAGCATTTGAAAGGAAGCTGCTGGGAGAATGAAAAATCCAGGCTGGGAAGAGACAGGGAAGCCACAACTTGTGTTGATCAACCTGGGAAGGCTTCCTGGAGGAAGAGGGCTTTTCCCCATGAGGGCATTGGGTGCCTTCTGTAGCCAGGCTAGAGTGCCCTCTGGTGGAAACAGTGTGGAAGTCCAGGAGAGTCTTTTCTAAGGCACCTCTGCAGCAGAGCAGTGACTCACACAGCCCCAGGGACTTCTCTGAGCTACAAAAGTTAGGGTTTTGGTCTGTAAAATGGGTTGCACATCATGTGGTTGTGCTGAAACTGGAGGAGCTCCTGGAATAAGACAGGAAAGGGGTAATTATCAGTGTTTTGGGGCCAAGTTTTCTTCCTGTTTGTTTCCTGAAGTTCCTCCTTCTCTGGCAAGCTGCTGAGTTGCTGGAGTTGGGGAACCCTGAAGGGCATTGTCTCCCACGGCACCCTCCAGACAGCTAACTGCCTCCTGTCTCATGGGCCAGGTTGACAGTCCTGGAAATGTTCCTTAAGTAGACCCCAAAGCCGAGTTCCTGTAACTTCAGTCCACTGGCTGTCCTCCATGTCTTTGGGCACCTGTTCCCAGCTGCCTCACTTAACACCTGTGGGTGCACATCCCCTCTCTCTGTCCCAAGACAGACATCAAATGTCCTCTCCTTCAGGACTCCTCGCAGGGCTGGGCCTCAGGGCCTCCCCGCTGGTGCTGTCTTGGCCAGCAGTGACCCTCCAGAAGCAGTGAGAAGGCTCAGGCCGGTCATGCTCCCTCCTGTGTGGCCTGAGCAGCAGAGGGCACCGATGGCCACTGCTCTGGACACTGCATGGCTGAGTGCTGCCTAAGAGAGTAGGAGCTCCTAGAGAGAGAAAAATGAGCTAGCCCTGCTGAGTGCTGCCCAGACTACACAACTGTTTTTTTGTTTGTTTGTTTTCTAGTTTTATTATTTTTTAAAAATTTCTTTATTGATTAAGGTATCACATATTTGTCCTCATCCCCCCATTCCCACCTCACACCCCTCCCCATGCATGTCCCCACTCCCCTGTTGTCCGTGACCACTGGTAAGGCTCATATATATATATACACAAGTCTTTGGTTGGTCTCTCCCCTTTATCCCCACCCTCCCCTACACTCCCTCACAACTGTTGGTTTTTAAAGCTGCTAAGTGTTGGGTGGTTTGTTACACAGCCAAGTTAGCTCCTGGCTGGATTCCATAATTTGCAATCACTCTTGATTATTAGAATCATCTCATTCCAGAGTTTAAGAAGCCTCATTGTAAAATTTCAGGTCTGAGCTCTGCTCAAACCTTTCCTCTCTCCCCACCCTTAAGCCACCTCCCCACGGCTGGCTGGCCTGTTTCTGGTTTTAACGCTCAGCTCAGTGGGGTGGGGTCTTTCATCACAAACTCCCACCTCCTTTTTTTTTAGATTTCTCACCCCCAGCTGCCTCAGGGGAGGTGTCGTCAATCAGACCCTGCCTAAGTGGCCGCTGTGGGAGCAGCAGGTTCTAAAGTGGGGTGGTAGCACCACAAGTCCGACGCTCCAGGGTTGATTCCCATAAAGTCCTCCAGCACTGGTGCTTCCTTGCAACGTTTGGCCAGATCTTGTGGGCCGTGTCCCCTCCTCCCCGCCCCCCCATGCTGCTGGATACTTGCCAGACTGCTATGCTTCCAGCTCAGCTTTCCTCCCAGACCATCTTCGGGCCTGTGACCACGAGGAGAGGTAGCCAGGTCCAACATGTAGCTCTCTTAGAACTTGGGCAGACTAGCTGCCAGCCTGGGAATCATCATCTTGACTCCTCTCCTGTCCCCAACATTTGGTAAATTGACAGGCCCTTCTCATACCTTATGGCTGATTCCATTTCTTTCCATTTCTCCAACACTGTCTTAGCTCAGGCCCATGTCATTTCACATTTCATTTCAAGTGATAGCTTGCTAACTGGACTTTCTGCCTTATATTATGTCCCTACATCTGTTCTTCACCCCACTACTTAGTTGATTTGGTCATCCACCCATCCATCCATCCATCCATCCTTCTATCCATCCTAACCCGCCTCTGTATGTAACCATCAGAGGAAATCCTGCACTGCTGATGGGACAAAGGCCATACTCCTAGAAGGGGCACACAGTGCTCCTGTCTTGGCCCTGCCTATGCTTCCAACCTCACTTGTCCTCACTTTTCAGGAAGTACCCTGTGCTCCTGCCATGCTCCGCTTGCTGCTCTGACCCTGAGTGGGGCACTCTTGCTCATGCCTCCACACCTTTATGCACTCTATCCCCTGGGTTTGGGAACTAAAGGTGGCAAGTTTCAGCTTTCCTTCCCACAGGTGCTACGTGAGGCAGCTAGGGACAGGTGGAATCCAGCCAGGAACTCAAGGCTGGGCTCAGGTCCTGTTCCCTTACAACAGAGTGGGGTATGTGTCTATTATCACACTGCAGATCAGCGATTTCAATGCTTTTCATCTCATGGCACACATAAATGAATTACTAAAAGTCTGCGGCACACCGAAAAGTACATATTTTTTCCTTCCTATCTGAAAAAAATAGGTATAATTTTGATTGGTTTACAAAAAAGGTCACAATAGTGATTACCTACCCTTTTTGCTCCAAAGTGTCTTTAAAAAAAAATCAGATGTCTATACTTGTATATAAGGATTTCTGGTGCCAAGAACTAACCAATCAGATGCAACCTCTTTATGTGATGTGACTGAGAAGATGCAACTCTATTACACGACCTTTATATTTATGATTCAAGACAGGGCATTCACACCAGACAGCTATTGTTGTATTGGCTGTTGGCCTTTTTTTAATTTGACAATTTAAGGGAAAAGATGTCAGGTATTGCATGTTTTAAAATTCTTGCGATACACTGGTTGAAAATCGCTGCTGTAAATGTTTGATTTCTCCATCTTGACAAGTAAGTAGGCTGTGAGCTCCTTAAAGATAGAGAGCGAGGTAGGAGAATGAGTATTCAGTGGCCACCATGCTTCCCTAAGCCACAGAGCACCAGCTTGTGTGGCCATAAGACCCTTGCCAGATACATTCAGGTGCTTGGGAAAGGCTTGCTGCCAAAAAGGCATGCTGGGTAGCGCCGCCTTGGCAGGGTCCGAACAGGGTTCTCTGGCAGCTGTGATGTCTGTTGACAGGGCCTCTCACACTCCAGCCTCTGTGGTTTTCTAGCTGAGGAGTCTGGCTAGGAATTGCCAACTTCCCTCCAGAAGCAGAGCACAGCAGGAGATTAAAGCTGAGATCTCCCCCGCCCCCTTTGCTCCCCTCGCCAAGCCCTTTTCCTGTAGAGGGGCATTCTGGAAGATTCTTTCTTGTTCTTGTCTTGGTGCACAGAGGTTCTCTGCAAAGAGTGCTTCACTCAAGGGCCTGGGGAACTGGCCTCTGGCATAACTGTAGCCTTCACAAAGCAGTGCTCTCCCCATTGGGCTGCATTTCCACCAGCTCTTTCTGTGTCTGGCAAGGAGGCACCTGTAAGATGAAGATGGGAGGCCAGGGGTGAGCAGCCCCAGTGGAGGGCCTGGGCTTTGCAAGGGATCTCAAGAGCTGGGTGATTTCTCTGGTTCCACCCCCTGCCTCAGCCTCTCTGCCAACTCTCCTCGTCCTCTAGGACCTGCCTAGGTCTCCCTCCTTCCTGACCCTCCACTGCCATGAGTGGCCTGAGAAACCAAGAGCACGCCCTCTGCCTGGCCAGTCACCTTTCCCTCTCGCCATGGATCTTTCCTGCTCCCGTCTGGTTTCCCCCTGAGTCCCAACTTCCTCAAGGGCAAACTCTGCCCACCCAGCTTGGTTTTCCTCAGCATCTACATTAGTGCCTTGTTCTTGTTCTGCTGGACGTTAGCACTTGCCCTGAATGAAGGCACCTCCTCTGGGCTGCTCCTGCACCTGGCCAATATTTGTAGACTAGATGAGAAGCTCTCCAGCTATTGGCCACTCCCCCTTGCGTCTAGTCTATCCAACTCAGGCAGTGCTTCCCGAGGGCCTGATATGTGCTGGTTGCCATGTTGGAGATAAGCGCAGATAAGACTTGGTTTCTGAATTGAAGGGGCAGTACCAACGGCAATGACTCTGCTATAAGATGGGATGTGGTTCAGAGCAATAATAGGAAAAGGCTCGAAGAGGCTCACGCCTTATGTGCTCACCTGGGAGGATGAGCCAGGAGTCCTTGCAGCCTTAGGAGGGGTGTGGGATCTGCGTGGAAATACGGCCGGTGGGACCTTGATGGGACATGGGACCCTTCAATTCCCAGGAATGTGCTGGCCCAGGCCTCCACTTGCCTGTGTGGGATAATGACTTGAGGCCTACTCACAGGGCTAGAGGGGAATTGGGGTTGAAAAGATATGTCTAGGCCTGTGGGGAGGAACAGGCCAGAGACAGGCTTATTGGGGTTCAGGGTCTTGTGAATTAAAGGTGGCAAGTTTCAGCTTTCCTTCTCAGCTTGCCCCTGGGGGTGAGTCCCACGCTCATAAATGAAATTAATAACTTTCTCCTGCCTTTCATGCTGTCGGGAGGCCTGTCGTCTGCCCTATAAAAGGTAGGAGCACTCACAGGTCTCTGGGGGTGAGACCTGGTGTCCTTAAGTCCCTCCTCTTCCCCTGGCACTGCTCACAGAGCAGAGGCATGGCGAGCCGGTCTTACCGCATCAGCTCTGGCTACGGGGCCAGGAATTTTAGCTCCTGCTCTGCCATCATGCCCAAGCCCGGGGCTCACAGCTGTGCCAGTGCCATGGCCTACCGAGGGGGCAGTCCTGGAGGCCCCGGCTACAGGCGCCTCGGGGGCTTTGGCAGCCGGAGTCTGTGTGCAGTGGGGTCCCCGCAGATCGCAGTGAGTTGTGCGCGCCCCCTACGCAGTGGGGGAAACTTTGGCTACAGAGCAGGGGGCCTTTGTGGGCCCAGCCCGCCCTGCATCACCACCGTGTCCATCAACGAGAGCCTCCTCACACCCCTCAACTTGGAGATCGATCCCAATGCGCAGTGCATCAAGCATGAGGAGAAGGAGCAGATTAAGTGTCTTAACAACAAGTTTGCTTCTTTCATCGACAAGGTGGGTCTGTGGGTCGTCCTCTGGGCAATGGCTTAGGCAGGGGCAAGGGAATTGGAACCCAATGACTGGCTGGGTTCAAATTCTCGGGGTCCCAGCCCTGCTACTGATGAGCACGCAGCCTTGAGAACGTGGCTGCATCAGGATCTCAGTTTTCAAATGGTTGTGTTGAGAGTCAAAATTGCAACAATGGATGGGAAACCACTGGCCAGAACAGGAAGGGATATTGCTGCTACTTACCCTGCTCAGCAAGAGTGAATGTGTGTCTGGGGCCCCATCCTCTGGATCTCGGCCATCACACAGTGAGGGGTGGATGGGTTAAGCTACTCTGTTTAGGTTGGTGTCTGACCCATCCCCAGCAGGGAGAGGGGGCCAGGATAGGAAGGGGCCAGAAGCTCCTTTCCTGTAGGGACATCTTCGAAGGCTGGGAGTTCCTAGGACTTCTGCCCTAGGTGCCCTCCCTGACCCAGCACTTCCATTGATGAAAGACAGTGAGTTGAGAAACTTCAGGGCGGTCCAGGAGGAGCTGTTGAATTGCACTTTTCCGATGTGGCAGTTTCAGAGCTCTCCTTGTGGCTGGATACACAGCTCCGGTTTCCTTTGACCCGGTGATGCCCCCTCTGGGAGCCTGGAATCTGATCTTTGGGGGAGAACAGCCCCTGGAATCCCAGGGAGGAAAGCCTCACCTTCCAGGGTGGAGTGGTGTGCACAGCCTGCATTGGAAGGTGCACACCGGCTGCTATGGGTGGGAACTCTGCTCTCAGACTAACACCATCAGAAATGGGCGTATCTGCAAGGGAAGGTGCTGTGCACCCTTTCTTAACACGTTCCTGGCTGTCCAAACCACTCTTCCCTCCCATCGGCAGAAGCGGACCCTGGGACCATGCAGGTTGTTCACTGCATAGGGACATCCACCGAGATGGGGGAGGGGAGGTTGAAATCCAGCTCTTGCTCTGTTCACCAGGCTGTGTTCCCTGGAAGGGGCTGCATCTGCCTGGAGGGGCACCTTTTCCTAATTTGCTCGGTGAGGACCCTGAACACGCAGACTTGAAAGGGATCTTTGCATGTGGCCTTTTGGGCATCAACTCAAGTATACTGCTCTCTGTTGGGAAGGGTCAATCCCTCTCCTGGGGTTGCTGACAGCCTCTTATCTCCTTCCAGGGTTCTTCCTCCAGGATGCATTCCTGGTGTGCCAAGTTCATCGCTGTGGTGGGTTTAAGACTGTAGAGCAGGCAGGCCAGAGAGCTGCCCTCATGACCTGGGCCTGCATGTGGAGACCCAAGGCAGATGCCTTTTGGATAGTCAGGGTTTGGGTTCCTTTTCCCACAAAAATGGGCCATTGAGAGTTACTTCACATCAGCTTATTCTCTCAGAAGTTTTGGACTTGAGAACCTAGTTTAGGGCTGGCAGCTGCATGGTGCCTGGGGAATGAAGCCAAGCTGAGAGGCATGCCACCTACAGGGGCAGCTGCTGCCTCTCACTCCAAACACAGGCCCAGCATTGCCCAAGCATCCAGTTCATCAAGGTCAGGGAAATCCGGATACTTGCCTGAAGTCACTCAATTATTAAATGTTGGCAGTTAATCAGATTTTTGTGCAGCCAAATAACATATGCCTGTGGGCCAGATAGGGTCTGTGTATATTGCTGATGTGTTCTCATTGCCTCAGTTTATCTTGAGGCTCAGAGAGAATGAGGCATGGTGGCTCGTTTGGCAGTGAGAGATCTCCTAACTTCTGGTCCAGGGTTCCCCCTCCTGGCTACTGCACTCCAGAGTCAGAGTGAGGGAGGGTCATAGTGAGTGCATTTAAACATCATTTCCATAAGAAAAAGGAATTCCTCATGCAGGGAATGCAGTCTGGTGCAGCCATTGTGGAGAACAGTATGGAGCTTCCTCAAAAAATTAACAATGGAGCTCCCATTTGACCCAGTGATTCTACTTCTAGGAATGTATCCCAATAAATCAGAAACACCAATCAGAAAGGACATATGCACCCCTATGTTCATAGCGGCACAATTCACCATAGGTAAGATTTGGAAACAGCCTAAGTGCCCATCAGCAGATGAGTGGATTAAAAAACAGAGGTACATCTACACATTGGAATACTATGCCGCTATAAACAAGAAGGGATTATTACCATTTGTAACAGCATGAATGGAACTGGAGAACATTATGCTAAGCAAATAAGCCAGAGAAAGATAAATATCATATGGTATCACTTATTTGTGGAATATAATGAACAACATAAACTGATGAACAAAAATAGATCCAGAGACAGAGAAATATTAAACAGACTGTCAAACCTCAGAGGGAAGACAGGGGAAGGGGTGGGGGAGGTAAGCGATCAACTAAAGGACTTGTATGCGTGCATATTAGCATAACCAGTGGACACAGACACTAGTGGGGTAAGGGCACGTGCTGGGGAGTGGAGATGGCCGGGAAGAGGTCAATGGGGGAAAAGGGAGACATATGTAATAACTCTAAACAATAAAGTATTAAAAAAATAAAAATCACTGCCATGAAAATGCCCACAAACTTAGCATCTTAAAACAACATGCATTTATCTCATGAGGCTGAAACCAAGCTGTCAGGAGGACTGCATTTCCTTCTGGAGGCCCTTTTCCAGGGACACCCAGGTTTCTGGCAGAACTGAGTTCCGTGTGGAGGTCCCTGTTCCCTTGCTGACTGATTGACAGGCAGGTATTCTCAGTCTCTAGGGGCTGCCTGTCTTCCTAGACTCATAGCCCTTTCTCCATCTTCAAAGCTGCTGATAGTGGTCACATGCTTCTCACTTCTCCTGTTTGAACCCTCTCTTCTGCCTCCTTCTTCTGGGCATCTCTCTCATTCTTCTGCCTCTCTCTCCCACTACTGTGGGAGTCACCTGGATAATTTAGGATAATCTCCTGATCTTCGGTTAGTAACCTTAATTGCATCTGCAGGACCCCTCTCACCAGATAATGCAACTTATTTACAGGTTCTAGGGTTAGGGCATGGCCATCCTTGAGGGGCTATTTTTTACCTACTACATGTAGTTTGTGGTATTTTTTTTTCAGGATCAGATGTTATTTTATTCTGTGCAGAATAAACAAATCCCAAATAAATTGTGAGCTTTTTCTGGGAGACTGGGGAGGGGACGTTATTTGAGGAACAACGGTGAACTGTTCTTTCAGACTTTCTAAATGATTTGATCTTTGGGGGAAGGTCACAGCTGCTACAGGTCAGGGGCTATTCCAAAAGGCAGAGAGAGTTCCGGGAGACCAGAAACCTCCCTAAACTGCCCACTGAGTCTCTTTTCTTCATCCTTGGTGACAGGTGCGCTTCCTGGAGCAGCAGAACAAGCTGCTGGAGACCAAGTGGCAGTTCTACCAGAACCGCAAGTGCTGTGAGAGCAACCTGGAGCCACTGTTCAATGGCTACATGGAGACGCTGAGGCGGGAGACTGAGTGTGTGGAGGCCGACAGCGGGAGGCTGGCCTCAGAGCTCAACCACGTGCAGGAGGTGCTGGAGGGCTACAAGAAGAGGTAAGCATGACAGGGCCAGGGGATGGTTTAGGCCAGGTGGGGTAGGTCCAAGCTGGGTCAATACAACTATCCTGGAGGCAGAGATGATTGAAGTTCAGGGTCCTTTCAGACTACCAATTAGGTGGTTTGCATCATCAGTTCGCTCCATCTTGTCTGGACTCCCAACTCCTGCAGCTTATCTTGGGGACTTAGCAACAATCTGGAGAGAAGGGGTGCTCCCAGCTGGGAGGGATGGGGCATATGCCAAGGGCACAGACTGACCCAGAGATGGAGAGAGAGAGCAAATGAAACAGGAGGACCATGGTCAATAAGGCTGGAAAGCAGAACATGGGAGCAGCAGTCATGAAAGATCCTGGAAGAGAATTCTTGAAAATGATCAGGCCAATGCCATTAAAGATATCTGATAAAATTGGGTACTTCTTTTATTTAGGCTGCAGATAAATCATTAGGCTTTTGTTATGCAAGGCTCTACAATTCAAAGGTCCAGGTACATCTTTTATTTTAACCTGACTTGTTTAGTTTGGCCATTATCTATAATAATTTTACTCGCTGGATCACTTATCTTGCCCCACTTCTGGTAGACACGAACATGCTGAAAGATGATTTTGACATAATAAGCTCTGGTAATTCTAATTGGAATTCTGGCTTTGGAAGGTCAGGTTTTACCAACAGATGGACCCAGCATTGGGTCTCCACTTCCCTTGGGGGGATGCAAATGCAGACACAGTTCTGTTTGCAGATGCCAAAGTCTGTCTCCTACTCTAGGAGTATGTGGGCCAGTGATCACAGAGCTCAGAGTTTATAGAAGCCTTAATTGCCTGTAATTACAAAACTGTAAAAATTGTGCTATGGGAACTCTGGTCTCTCTTGTTGGCTGGGGCAGGGCTGCTCCAGGGATAAGTCCTCACGGGCAAGAAAGGACCACAGGCTGGTGGAGGAGGACTGTGAAAATGCCCCAGCAGTCTGGGCAGAGCTTCCAGTTTTTCAAGTCCTTGGATGTTGGGGGAGGAGAGAAAGAATGTCATAGGAATGGCTTCATGGAGCTTTATGTTTTATATAATTTTAGGATTGTAGGGCTCTTTGGAGCAACTGTCATTCATTTATCCCACAAACTTACTGAGTGCCTTACCACCTACCAGGCAATTGAACCCAAGTTGCAGGCAGAGTAAATGGCTTGCCTGAGGATTTGCAGGGACCTCACTTCCAAGCTTGGGCCAGAAACAACAGGCTTGGACTCCATGTTCAGTGTCCTTTGGTGGGTTCTCTCTGGCTGGGAAATAGAAGAGAGGCTAGCCTCTTCTCCCAAGGCACACAGGAAGTCAAGGGCAGAAGCAGGGAGTCTTGAAAACCTAGGGTTCACTAGCCGGCTACAGCCCTCAGCTGTGCTCTCTCCCCTCAGGTATGAAGAAGAGGTGGTCCTCAGGGCCACGGCTGAGAATGAGTTTGTGGTGCTGAAGAAGGTGAGTGACTATTTCCATACGTCAAGCAGCTAACTCTTGGATGGTGAATCTATGAGACTGGGCATCTTGCCAAGGTCATGTCAATCCATTGGGGTGGTGGGCACTCAAGTCCCCTGGCCAATGGAGGCTGGTCTGGCTTTGGAAGTAAGTCTTTTGGCCCCCATGCAGGAACCCAGAATGTATTGACCAGGCTTCTTAAAAAGAAAACTTCATCCTACTGCTGTCTGACTTTTTGTAAACTCCCTGATTAGCTGAAATGGTCACTTTTAAACCCATTTTACTCTCATGTAGACATTACCTCTCAGTGGGTTCTCAGCTTGCTAGAGATTTTGTGAGCTGTGGCAATGGCAGATGATGAAATAACAGAAGAAAAACTGCAAATGACTTCCCTTTGACTTTAAGTTGGTGAATTGAAGTGTACACGTATGTAGTTTCACACATAACGTGCTCAGCAGCCACCTTATCTGTGAGTAATCACAGAACAGAGAGAAGGCTGGTAAAAATCTGCCATGGAGGTGTGACCTTGGTCTCAGGCAGGGAGGTCAGCTATTTGGGGGTTGGGTATTGCCTGACCTAGGTGCCAAGCATGACCTATTGGGGAGGTGCACCCATGGCTCTGTGGCTACCTCAGGGTCATGTTCCCAGGGCCAGTTTGACTCAGTGGCAGTAGTCTGTGGTTTTAGGTTAGGATCTTAGGCTATTTGTTTAATCAAAACCCCCAATTCTGGAGGAAATGAAAAGTCTGTAGGGATCAGACTTCTCTTCACTTCCTGTCTCTTATGGTTTATGTGAAGGGAGGTAAAGGCAGTGGCAGATAGCAAAGGGCCTCTTCCCACTTGTAGGGCCCTGAAAGTGACTTGTAATTGCAGGCTGGATGAGCAGGGGCAGGGGGTGGGCCAGGAGGTGGTGCCAGGGCCTACTGAATGCCCACGCTCTCTTGTCTTCTCCACCAGGACATAGACAGTGCCTATCTGCGCAAGGCGGACCTGGAGGCCAATGTGGATGCGCTGAAGGAGGAGATGCACTTCCTGCAGGCTCTCTATGAGGAGGTGAGTCTCCGGAAGAGCTATTGAGAGAAGAGACAGGAGGGTTTCCTTGGGATGTGGCCTGTCCTGGTTCCTTGGTTCTAGGGAAAGTTGTCCATTCCTTACTCATCTAGGATCTCAACCTCCTTTCCTTTTGTGACTGAGACCTCCTTTCAAAATGACAATGGATGATGCCTTCCTTTAAAATAATTAGAAAGACTATATAATTCATTGCCTGTCCACAGCTCAACATGAAGTAGATATTTGATAATAGAGCTCTCTATATATAATAATTATTATTATAGAAACTTAGGATTCTAATTCTTGCCATTATCTGGTTGGCTGGATTTTTACATAAAGCTACCACTGATCTGGAGAGTTTAGGCTTCAGAGATAGTCATTCACTTTATTCCTGATCTTAGAAATCTGCCCCTATTTATCCCAGCATTGATGGAAGTCCACCTTATGCATTGCCTTGAAGCTATGGTTCAGACTCCAGCCTTTTCCTCTTAAAATTATACTTAATGTTTTTCTGACTTGTCAGAAATTTTCTAATTTATTTATAAAATTTTCAACTTGGGACTGTGCCTTTGATTACCTGCAGAGACAGGAATGGGAAGAGGATTGGAGCTGAGGGCCCTGTCTATTGTCTCCTACAGGAAATCTACATCCTTCAGTCACAAATCTCTGACACTTCAGTGGTGGTCAAGATGAACAATAGTCGGGAACTCAACATGGACTCAGTTGTGGCCGAGATTAAGGCTCAGTATGACGATGTGGCCAGCCGCAGCCGGGCAGAGGCTGAGTCTTGGTACCAAAGCAAGGTAAACTGGAGGACTGGACTGCCCCACACACCAAGACTCTGGAGCTTCCCTGGGAAATGCACCCAGGCACTCAGAGGGGCTGTAGTTGTGGTTCCAGGTTCAGAGCTTGGAAAGGAGGTGGGGCTGTTGCAGAAGACTAGACTAGTTAGTCTGGGCTGGGTGGGATCAGTGACCTCTCAGCACACCCCCCAGCTACCTAGTGATGGGTAGTTTCCACGTGTTTGTCTCCTGACCCGCAGTGTGAGGAGATGAAGGCCACAGTGACCCAGCAGGGAGAGAACCTCCGCAGAACCAAGGATGAGCTCAATGACCTGAACCGCATGATCCAGAGGCTGACAGCAGAGGTGGAGAATGTCAAGCAGCAGGTGGGAGACACTGAGGACTCAGCACACCTGCCGTTTCTGATCTGCTTTCTGCTTTCCTTCTACCTTGAGGGGCTCCTGCTATCTTTGGAGAGGCTTTTATTTTAATCACCTGCATCTGAAGGACTCAGGGTGCACAAAACATTGTGGGAAGAGGGTTGTTCTATCTATTTAAAAAATATTTTTATTGATTTCAGAGAGGAAGGGAGAGGGAGAGAGATAGAAACATCAATGATGGGAGAGAATCATTAATTGGCTGTCTCTTGCACGCCTCCCACTGGGGATTGAGCCCTCAATCCCTGCTAATTGGAATTTAAATATTCACTTCTCTGATTAACTAGTGACACCGAATGTCTCCTCATACACTTACTAATCATTTGTATTTCTCCTGCTAAGAATTGCCTATTAATATCATTACCTATTTTTCTATTGAACCTTCTTTCTTCTTGGTGATTTGCATTATTCTTTTACTTATTCTGTCTAGATTGTAACTTTTAATCAGTTACACCAGCTGCAATTAATCTATTATCAATCTGTCACTTGTCTGTTTGCTTTGTTCTGGTATCCTTTACTAAAAAAAATCTTTAACTTGGATGTGACCAAATCCATCACTTCTTACCTTAGTGGGTTATACTTACAAAGGTTTGAGGTCATAGATTTATTCTCTTACATTTTGTCCTCTACTCGTTGTATAGTTTTACCCCTCACATTTAGGCCTTTAATCCATCTGGACTTTATTTTTTTTGTATATAATTTAAATCATCTACATACACTGTAGCAAAAAAACTATATCATGCAATCCATTCTTTGCCCATGGGCTTGTGCTATCACCTCTATCATAACACTGAGTTCCCTCATATCCCTGGCTCAGTTCCAGTCCTCACCCTTCTGTAGGTTGTTCTCATCCTCTGTGTAAGATGTATCACAAGTAATTTGTTACTCTTAATAGCTGAAGTAATAAAATATGGGAATGGTTTACTTTTCAGAAGTGAAATTAGAGAAGATTACTTGCATTCTGATATACTTTTAAAATATTTATTTTATTGTGGTACGAACATAGCATGAGAATGACCCTTTTTAACAAATGTGTAAAGTGTACAGCATACTATTGTTGACTAAGGTAGGATGCTGTTCAATGGATCTCCAGAGCTTATTCATCCTGCATTAGTGACTCCTCATTCCCCCACCCCTTCTCAGCCCCTGGCAACCACCATTCACTCTTTGATTCCAAATCTGACTATTTTATATATGATATTTAATATACTAGTAAGTGGAACCACGCAGTGTTTGTCTTTCTGTGACTGACTTGTTACACTAAGCAAAATGTCCTCAAGTTTCATCCATTTTGCTGCATATTCCAGGATTTCCTTTTTTTATAAAGGGTGAATGGTACCCATTTTATGTAAAAACCTTATTTTCTTTATCCATTAATCTCCCCATGGACATGTGGGTTGTCTTCACATCTTGGCTATTGTGGATAGTGCTGTGATGAACACAGGAGTGCTAATATCTCTTTGAGCGCCTTATTTTAATTCTTTTGGGTAGATAACCAGAAGTGGAATTGCTAGATCATAGGGTAGTTCTGTTTTTAATTTCTTGAGGAACCTCCATACTATTTTCATAGCAGCTGCACCATTTTGCATTCACACTAACGGTGCACAAAGGGTTGCAATTTCTCCACATCTTCACTAACACTTGCCTTGTTTTGTTAATAATAGCCATCCTGACAGGTGTGAGGTGATACTCATTATAATTTTGATTTGCACTTTTATGATGGTAAGTGAGGGTTTTCTTTGTTTGTTTGTTTTGTTTTCTATATACCTGATGGCCATTTGTGTTTTCTTTGGAGAAATATCTATCAGGTTATTAGGTTGATTTTTTTTTTTTTTGAGTGATGAGTTGTTGGAGTCCCTTCTGCTTTCTTAGGTGGGGCACAGGGAGAAGCTGCAGTTAGTGTGCTGGGCATTGTAAATGGGAACTTAGTTCATCATGCTCTTCTCAAAGGAGACCCACACAGTGGTCTCTGAAAACCTGGAGATGGTGCTAACTAATTGGGTAGCTTAGGGCAAGTCACAGCCTCTCTGAGTCACACAATGAGTTTCTGTATAAGGGAATAGCAAGGCCTACTCTGACAAGCTGACAGAATAAACTAAAGGTCAAATACGAAACAACTGTGAAAGTGCCTTGTAAACTAATGACAGCAAACAAGTATAAGATAATATCACTAATTATCAGTCCTATTTCAGTGCTAACAATTCCTCCCTCTCATGGCTCTTCATAGATTTGAGTTTTACAATAAAGTGGTACAAAAATAAAGCAAGCAAGCTCCAAAATGGATATTATTTCCCTTCTCGGTTAATTAAAAATTTGTCCATTTTGAATGGAGGTGAAATACGATGACCAAGGTGTGGGAGACTCACCAGGATCCCCATAGCCTGCAACCTTCTCAAATTCCTTCCCTCCTCTCCTCCCCACAGCGTCGCAAGCTGGAGGCCGCTGTGGCCCAGGCGGAGCAGCAGGGCGAGGCGGCCATCAGTGATGCCCGCTGCAAGCTGGCCGAGCTGGAGGCCGCCCTGCAGAAGGCCAAGCAGGACATGGCCTGCCTGCTCAAGGAGTACCAGGAGGTGATGAACTCCAAGCTGGGCCTGGACGTGGAGATCGCCACTTATCGCAAACTGCTGGAAGGCGAGGAGAGCCGGTGAGGACGGGCTCGGGTCACTTCACATCTCAGGCTGGGAGAGTGCTGGACTACAATCTTCCAGGCTGCTCAAACAGGGAAATACTCTAGAGATCATGGGGTCCAGACACTTCCCCATTTTTAAGATAGAGAAACTGAAGCCCAAAGAGGGGAAAGAGCTGGTCCAAGACCACAGCTACTTAGTGGTGAAGCTAAAATAGTACCAGGCTGTGCTGACTTTGAACCAAGAATTGGGGACAGGTGAAGTCTGCAAGGGAGGGAGCAATGTGGCTTTACACCTGGGATGGTGCATGGGCCTCTAGCTTTGAGGTGGTCACATCGTTACTGCCTCCTAGCTGGGTCCGCTGGAGGGGGGAACAGGCTGCATGAGGGAGTAGAGTATACAAGGTTAAGATCACAGGCTATGAGCCAGATCTCCTGGGTTCAAACCCCAGCCCTAACACTTACTAGCTATGAATTCCCATGCCTCATCTGTAAAACAGGTAATCATAAAACCCACCACTTAAGGCTGTTGCATGGATTAAGTTAGCTAATGGAACATAGTAAGCACAAGTAGTGCTGGTTATTAGAATGAGAGTATCTCTATCAGAGTAACCAGGCAGGGCTGTGTCCACATAGAGGCTCCTTATTAACATGGTTAGTGTTAGAAATCTGACATGAGTGGTACCCCAGGCAGCTGGCCACGCTGCTGGATTTGCACCGTGGTTGACCCCAGCAGCTAAACTTTTCTGTCCATTTCCTCGGGACTTTGGGTGAAGCCACTAGAGCTATCTCCTTTCACCGTTAACACAACCCATTCACCAGCATTCTGGGAAGCACTTGGCATTTGCATAGTGACACTTTCATTATGATAATAATCATTAATGTATTAGGTACTAATAACTTAATCATGTTATGAATAATGTGATGTCCCCAACACACAAGATTTTAAAAGGTGGTTTAGTGTATTCTACTTTGCATATTGAGGCTATCGGCCTTTTAGTAGACCTGTCCTTTAGGGATTCCAGGAAGCAGTGCCTGCACTGGTGCTGTCTGCAGTGGGTGGGCAGCATGCCCCAGTCCCTCATCTCCTCTCCCCTGTTTTAGGATGGATAATAGGTCTGCTGCAAGGGCAGGGAGCTTAGTTCTAATGCCTACTCTCTCCTCTCCCCTGCAGGCTGTGTGAAGGCATGAGCTCAGTCAACATCTGTAAGTGGGGTTGTGGGTGGGCATGGTTCTTTTGGGTGTCAATAGTCTTAAAATTAGGTTGCATCTAAATAGTGACCAAACCTCTGTCTGTGGGGCACAGAGAAAAGTGGTAGTAGCTGAGGTCTCTGGGATCTGGACAAAGTGATGGTCCAAAATATTTGAACCCTACATGGGTCCATCTGGAACATCCATGGAGCCTAGGCTAATGAATGTGTTAAGTCCTTTCCCCCCTGCTCCATTTGGTTCTACAAAAATAGCCTAAGTCTTTCAATTTAACACAGAATACTCTTCAAGTGGTACATGTTTTAATAAGAAGAAACACTAGATGTCTATTCTGATCATTTGGAGCCCCTGCAGGGAATTCTCAAATCTTTAATAATTCAGTGTGTACACAGAACCTAGTCTAGGTGTCTATCTGTTCTCCTCATCTTCCCAACAATCATATTTCTAGATGATTCTTCCACTGGAATCCATCAGATTTTGCTCAAAAATTGAATAAACATATCTCAACATTAGTCTGATTCTAGTAGTTATGTGTCCAATTTGCTAACCAAGTTCCTTCAAGAAGCAAATGGCAGTGGGTTTAAGATTCATGTTGTTGGTCCCTTGGAGTGTGAAGAGAGTTAATTGCTAGTTCCAAAAAAAATGTTGGGTCACACCATGTCTGGGATAAGAGAATTCTAACCTGGTGTCTCCATTCACAGGTGTGAGCCGTTCCCAGGGTGGTGTGGTCTGCGGAGACCTCAGTTCCAACCTCCCTCAAGGCCTGGGGAGCGTGGCCCTCAGCAGCAGTGCCCTCTGCCCCAGCGCTGCAGCAGGGGCATGTTCCAGCGCCAGATCCGTGCGATTTGCATAGTCGGGGGTGGAGGCTAGGATTCTGGACGGACTAGGTCTGATAGGGACAAGGGTGGGGAGCAGGAGGGGGAAATCTTTTTTCTCTCTGGCCCAAATATCAGTTTGGTAATTTGCCCTTGCTGGGAGCCCAGACTAACTCTCCAGTTTCCTTCCTATAATATCAGAGTTGAGATTTACTTAGAGTGCAAATCCTGGGTTTGGCATTATTACCACTTCCATTGATTCCTTCCTCCTGGTGGTCCAGGAAAGGGACCTATAGGCTTTTTTATATAAACTGCTTAGTCACTTTTTCCCCCAAATAACTTCAGGTTAGCAGGCATTTCCTAAGTACTGACCATGTACCAGGCCCTCTGGAAAGGGAGCCAGGGAGAGGGATGGCAGTGTGTGGGCTTTGCTCTTAATAAGGGATGGTGCATGTCACCTCGGTGTTGAGGGACCATGGTGGGAGAGCAACTGGGGCTCCAGGAGGCCCTCACTTGATCTGAGAGATTGTATAATATGTTCCTAGAGCATCCTCCAACTATTCCAGATGGAAGGACAGGCTGAGGCTAATTGGCTGAGGTTTTTATCATTGGTGGTTTGGATTTTATTGTATTTGGGTGATTCATGTTATGGTTCCCTCTGTTTTTTAATGTGTGTGATTAAATGTGGAAGGCTAAAAACTTTCTCCTAATAAACATGTTAATATCTTTCTTCTTACTTTATTCCCCTCCCCACATTCCAGATTGTTTTCATGTTTCTTTAAATGTGGTCCTACGACCACAACCTATATCAGGGTCTGAGGGGGTTGGGGAAGGTAGAGATGAGCCGATAACTCTGAATTAAACATGTCCCCACGTGACTCCTATAAGAACCAAAGTTGAGAACTGCTGGTTTATGTGGGCCGAGGGAAAAGAGGTCAGGTCATTCTGACTGGGGAGGGGATTTTCCTCCAGATTCTCACAGGGTCAGGTTCATCTCTGCATTTCTCTTCTGCCAGCCAGTATAAGACATCAGGCTGGGTGTGGTGGAGACAAAGGTAGAAATGGGGAGAGATGGGAGCTTGTTCCCAGCAGCTGCTAAATATCTCATGTATGTAATTCAATCATTGCCATAGCAGCAGTGTTATTATTTTCATTTTACAGATAAGAAAATTGGGGCCCAGAGAAGTTAAATAGCTTTACTAAGGTCACACAGATAGGCCAGGATGCAAGCAGAGGTCTAGAGAATGCCAAAATTCCCCAAGACTTTCCATTGTCTTACCCTAATTTTTGCTCCAGGCAAGTCAGAATGCTCCTGGACAGGAGGTTCTAACGGATCCTGCCTCACTAATCTCACATTGCAGAGATAAGAGATGGAAAGTGACATAAAGGAACCTCCTGGAAACATTTGTAGAAACATCTCCCCATAGCCTCTGCTCTCTAAGAATCTTGGATAGATCTTATTATGGGATGCTTAATACAGGCCTCCTATATTAAGGGAACCCAGAATTAAAACTCAGACCTCTGGTTGGAGGGCATTTTCCCCAATGGCCTGGAAGGGGGCATTGATTTGGTAAACTCAGTCTCTGACCTATTCCTGAACTGACAGTCCCCAAGAGGTGCCACCTGGGGAAGTCTGTTTAGAGTCCCCTCTGATGCAAAGGTATCCCCCGAGATGTGATGAGGTGGAGAGAGGGGTTTCTGATGGGCAAGTTTATTTCACTTGTTTTATGGGAAAAATTCTACTTCTCCCAGCTTATTTGATTTGGGATTAAAAAACAAGATTAAAACAAAGACCTGAATGTGTAGAAGATATTTTGCCGTAAGAATATGTATTTGATCTCAAGACATGGAAAAACCTTTGAGTTGTTCTCCCTGGCAATGCAGTTCTTCTGATGTTTCCAGAATGTGTTCTCAGGGAGCACATTGGTCCTCTTGGACTTGGGAGGACCAAGATTTCTCTTAGGATAGTGATCCCCTAGTCTCTGCTTCCTGGACCAAGAGGGTCTGCACTCTGGGCACATCATGGTCTGGATCCCACCAAGAGGTAAAACCAGGTTCAAAGGGCTGCCCCAGGGAGGATTGTGGGGAAGCATAGGGGAGAGATTGCCTTTTCTTTTGATGGTGCTGATGCAGGATGTGTATATACATATGTGTGCCTCTGGTGTTTTCTCCAATTTTTAATCCTCTGAGTGCTGCCTCCATTTCTCTTCAACCTCTGGCTACTCACCTCTCACCACCACTGTGCAATAGCACCAAGGGAACAAGAGTGGTCATATTGTGTGGTGGTGGTGGTGGTGTGTGTGTATGTGTGTGTGTGTGTGTATGTGTGTGTGTGTGTGTGGTGTCCCTTTGTTTTTGAACAAAGCAGAAATGGGTGGGGATTTCCAGGAGGAAGGAGGGTGGTGTGAGGCAGTTGTGGGCTAACCCTCTCCCACTGCAGGTCCCCTCACACAAAGAGGGCAGAACTTGGTGCTGGTGTCTTCATTGTTCTAATTTTTAGTGAATAGAACACTCAATTCTGTCTCCTCTTAATGTCCACATTCCTGAGGGTGGCCATGGTGTGACACTGGGAATTTCCAGCTGGTCATTTCCTGTGTCCATGTGCATTGCAGAGCGATTTCCTTGATCATGTGGTTAATTCCAGTTTGTCGCTATGCTTGGCTCCAGTGAGTAATGACACCAATCTGTGCTTCCTGAGATCCCAACTATGGAAGCAGGGGACAGTTGGATGCCACATCCATCACTACTAGGGTTCAGGATCTGAAGAAGGGGCTGCGTACAAATGAAAACACTAGACAAGAAATATGAATTTAGAAGGCATGGGAGCCAGGTGGAAACCTCACTCTAGAGGAGAAGCTCACTGACTTCTGGCCCTTTGCTTTTTATTTACTTGCATACACATTTGCCCTTAGCAGTGCATATAGGCATATCAAAGGTAAAGTTTGGTAAAAAGTAAAAGGACTATCAGGTTAGGGAATTGCCTTCAACTACTAAGCCCACAGCAGGGTAATGTTATGCTGAATATCAAACTCCATTGGCTTTCCCATGGGTCTTTTTGCATTAATATGCTAACTACTGTTGGTTTTAGCCTCTGGCAGTTGGAGGCACTGGGCTGGGAGCCAGAGCCAGTTGGGAGTGGGTGTTGGTGACAATGGTCCAAAGTGGAGGTGACTTGAGACTTGGCTAGGAGTGCTGGCTGCCTCAGAGAGAAAAGGAGACTCCAAAGCCCACGCCTCCCCGAGTTTTTGAAAGGACTGTCCTGCATACTTCTTCATACTTTGGGGACCCTGTGTACTTTTTTTGGGGAAACTGAATAGTTGAAGTAGAGTAGAAAACAGACAGAAGGTCTGATTTTCTCTGATGGAGGTTTTAGCTTGGACTGTGGAGTTTCACAGGAAAGGGGAGTCCAGGGAAGAGCGCTGGAATCACCCACATGGGCCAACCTTATCATCTGGGCCGCCTGCTCTTCTGACTTCCCTAAACTCTTGATTCCAGACCACTGGGCCTCTCCTTTAAATTCGTTTTTTTTTTTCTAATAAAACTTTAGTTCATAGTTACCCTTGAATTGCACCTTTTGCTTTCCATGGGGAAAAGCTCTTTTATCAGGAGAGGCTATGGGAGCCCCAGAATCCTTGAACCAGAGGAGTTTGCTCTGCATTTTGCGGTTGGCTGCAAGGAGGGCTGCGGGGGAACCTCCATCTCCAAAACAACGGTGCCTCTGGCTGACTGATCGGTGGACTGGTCTTTGCACACCAAGCATGGGAACTTATTAAAAGCCTATTAATACTCTAAGCTCCTGACTGTTCGACTTTTTAAATGCATGATGCCATATTTGGGGGGGTGTATTTGGCATTTTAGTTATGCTTGGCCCAGACTCATGGTTACATCAAAGTGTTTTCCCCAAGTCCAGACTTACTCCAGCACCCTAGGACAACAGGAGGTGGCAGGGCTGGAAAGGGTCCCCACGTCCGCAGGCTGATGCCAGAGCATGGAGCCCACTTCTTGCCAAAGGTGTCCCTCAGACAAGAAGAGTTAATGTTCAAATTTTGATCTCCGGACTTCTCAGCCCCTGAGATTTACCCTTTCCTGTGGATGAATGAGGTGCCCCAAATGGAATATTGGCCTCTTGTGACTATGACTATAACCTTCAGGCCCAGACAGGTGGGAGAAAGGAGGGGAACAGGTGTCAGCTGAGCACTCAGAAGAGGCCACTGCCTCCTGTGAAGTTGCAAGTCTTTGGGCCTGAAGTGAGGATTCATAAGAATGACTTAACTTCTCCCAGGAAAGGCTTGGGGATGGGGCAGCAGAGGGGGGCTGGCAGGCGAACATCTGTGTGGAACAGTGTATTGGACTCACCTCCTAAGGATAAATGGAGGTGAGTCTAAGAGGTTTGATGTATATAACTCCTGTTCTACCAGCTGCCTGCATGTATCCATCCACCTCAGGCCTGAAATGACCCAGAGCCACATCTTAGGACTAGTTGAGTGTCAGAGCCAGGAGGAGACACTTCCTGCCCTCAAGGAACTTGCAGCTTGACTCAGACTCCAGGCACACCCAATGACATCCCTGGCCCCAAGCCACGAAGACAAAAACCAGAGATCCTCAGGGTTTTGGACACTGTGGTTCAGGGGGAGGGGGATGTATGCTCGTGAAAGGGAGGGTGCAGAGGGAGAGCACAGAGAGCAATGAGCAAAGGCAAATGGGAGGGGGGTGTGGGATGGCCTATGTGTCCATGTGGGACAGTCCTTTGTAGAGGGCCACTTGGGAAGGCACATGGGCAGTTTTTCTTAATTATCTTCAGCTGAACTCAAGGTGCAGGCAGAGCCACACTTTGGGAACATGTTTCCCCAAGATGGCTGACATGTTTTCAGCTTGGCCTTCATATTAGCCCAGGTGTCAGCAGGGGTGGGAATAGATATGTAAATCCAGACATGCTAGGGCCTACTTAAGAATACAAATAAGTTGGTGTTACTTCCTGGTATTGGGGGAATAAAATAAATGTGCTGAGAGGGGTCACGTTATCTCTCCAGCAGTCAGAATGGCAGCCTACCCAGCTCCCAGCTTTAAATCTATTTTTTTGTGTCTTCTTTCTTTGTTTCTAATATTTCTCAATCCATGGTCACCTCCACTTAGAACCGGTTCATTCATCTCTCTTTCAGTGCAGGACGTGGAAAAGGGAGATCCCCACCACATCAGGTCCCCGCAGTCCTGGGTGGCCTCAGAGGGTAGATCAGTCTCCATTAGGTGGAGCCCTCATCTAGGAAGATCAGCACTGGGTAGGCTGAGGAGCAGGTGGGAAAAGAGGAGATGGAGGGAGCCTGTGCTTGGCACAAGGAGCCCACATATGGGCTGGGAACTGGTTTGAACCAGGCGGGAAGGGGTGAGAGTGATGAGTTTGGGATGGGACTTTTGGCTGCTGGGGGTACACAGGGTATGATCAAGAAGAAAGAGGTCATGAGGGGAGCTGGAGCTGTGGTCCAGGCCTGAGTGGACTGAGGAATACTGAGTTAGAATCAAGCTATGGAGTGAACAGGAACAGGCAGAATCACTGGGGAATTGGGGAAACACTGAATGGGTGGGGGTGGGGCTGGAAAGGCTTGGCCAGCGGGAGATGGGGCAGGAGGGAACTGAGAGTCGGAATGCACACTGTGTTCATAAGCTCACATATCCTTGCATCGCAGCAGCGTTTATTGAAACACCGATCGAGATAACCCAG